AATTCTCAGCTTATGCTTTCAAAGTTTCGAATTCCTACCTTATCGTTTTAAACATTGGAATTCCTACTTTATCCTTTTAATGATTGGCATACTTAATTGATCCTTTTAAACATTGAAATTCTCACCTTATCCTTTTAAGCATTGAAATTGTCACCTTATCCTTTTAACCTTTGGAATTCTTACCTTATCCTTTCAAACTTTGAAATTCTCACCTTATGTTTTTAAACATTGGAATTCGTACCCTATCCTTTAAAACTTTCCATTTCCTACCTTATCCTTTTAAAGATTGGAATTCCTTCCTTATCCTTTTAAACATTGGAATTCCTGCCTCATCCTGTCTAACATTGGAATTCTCACGTTATCGTTTTAAAGATTGGTATTCCTACCCTATCCTTTTAAATATTAGAATTCTCACCTCGTCCTTTCTAAGACTGGAATTCTTACCTTATCGTTCAAAATATTGGAATTCTCACCTTATCCTTTCAAACATTGGAATTCCTACTCTATCCTTTTAAACATTGGAATTCTCACCCTATCCTTTTAAACATTGAAATTCCTACCTTATCCTTTTAAACAATAGAATTCCTACCTTATTCTTTGAAACTTTGGAATTCCCACCTTATCCTTTTAAACATTGGAATTGTTACCTGATTCTGTTAAACATTGAAATTCTCACCTAATCCCCTTCAACATTGGAATTCTCACCATATCCTTTTAAACATTGGAATTTCTACCTTATCCTTTAAAAATTGCAAATGTCAACTTATGGCTTTAAACATTGGAATTGCCACCTTATCCTTTTAGACTTTTCAATTCTCACCTTATCCTTTCGTACTTTGCAACTCCTACCTGATCCTTTTAAACATTGCAATTCTTACCTTATCCTTTGAACCATTAAAATTCCTACCTTATCAATTTAAACATTGGAATTCCTACCTTTTCCTTTTAAATATTGGAATTCCTACCCTATCCTTTTAAACATTGGAATTCCCACGCTATCCTTTTCAACATATGACTTCCTACCTATCGTTTTAAACATTAGAATTGTTACCGTATCCTTTTAGACATTGGAATTCCTACCTTATCTTTCAAAACATTGGAATTGCTACCCTATCCTTTTAAACATTGGAATTCCTACCCTATCGTTTTAAACACTGGAATTGCCACCTTATCCTTTCAAACTTTGGAATTTCTACGCTATCCTTTTAAACATTGGAATTCTTACCTTATCCTTTCAAACAGTGGAATTCCTACCTTATGCTTTTAAACATTGCAATTTTCACCTTATTTTTTGAAACACTGGAATTCCTACCTTATCCTTTTAAACATTTCAATTCTCACCTTATCCTTTTAAACACTTTAATTCTTAGATTATCCTTTCAAACGTTGAAATTTCTACCTTATCCTTTTAGACTTTTCAATTCTAACCTCATCCTTTCGTACATTGCAAGTCCTACCTTATCCTTTTAAACATTGGAATTCCTACCTTATCCTTTTAAACATTGGAATTCCTACCTAATCCTTTTAAACATTGGAATTCCTACCTTATCCTTTTAAACATTGGAATTCCTACCTTATCCTTTTAAACATTGGAATTCCTACCTTATCCTTTTAAACATTGGAATTCCTACCTAATCCTTTTAAACATTGGAATTCCTACCTAATCCTTTTAAACATTGGAATTCCTACCTTATCCTTTTAAACATTGGAATTCCTACTTAATCCTTTTAAGCATTGGAAATCCTACCTTATCCTTTTAAACGTTGGAATTCCTACCTAATCCTTTTAAACATTGGAATTCCTACCTTATCCTTTTAAACATTGGAATTCCTACCTTATCCTTTTAAACACTGGAATTCCTACCTAATCCTTTTAAACACTGGAATTCCTACCTTATCCTTTTAAACATTGGAATTCCTACCTTATCCTTTTAGACATTGGAATTCCTACCTAATCCTTTTAAACATTGGAATTGCTACCTTATCTTTTTAAACATTGGAATTTCTACCTAATCCTTTTAAACATTGGAATTCGTACCGTATCCTTTTAAACATTGGAATGCGTACCTTATCCTTTTAAACATTGGAATTCCTACCTTATCCTTTTAAACATTGGAATTCCTACCTTATCCTTTTAAACATTGGAATTCCTACCTAATCCTTGTAAACATTGGAATTCCTACCTTATCCTTTCAACCATAAAAATTCCTACCTTATCCTTTTAAACACTGGAATTTCTACCCTATCCTTTTAAACATTGAGATTTCTACCTGATGCTTTTAAACACTGGAATTCCTTCCTTATCTTTTCAAACATTGGAATTTTTACCTTATCCTTTTAAAGATTAATATTTTGACCTGATCGTTTTAAACATTGGACTTCTTACCCTCTCCTTTTAAACACTGGAATTCTCACCTTATCTTTTAAACACTGGAATTCTTACCTCATCCTTTTAAACATTGGAATTTTCAGCTTATCCTTTCAAAGTTTGGAATTCCTACGTTATCGTTTTAAACATTGCAGTTCCTACCTTATCCTTTTAAACATTGGAATTCTCACCTGATCCTTTTCAAGATTGAAATTCTCACCTTATCCTTTTAAACATTGGAATTCTCACCTGATCCTTTTAAAGATTGAAATTCTCACCTTATCGTTTTAAACATTGAAATTCTCACCTTATGCTTTTAAACATTCGAATTTCTACCTTCTCCATTTAACCACTGGAAATGTTACCTTAGGCTTTCAAACTTTGAATTTCTTACCTCATCCTTTTAAACATTGATATTCTCACCTTACAAACACTGCAATTCGTACCCTATCCTTTAAAACTTTGCAATTCCTACCTTATCCTTTTAAAGATTGGAATTCCTACCTTATCCTTTAAAACATTGGAATTCCTACTTTATCCTTTGTAACATTGGAATTCTCACCTTATCCATTTAAAGATTTGTATTCCTACCGTATCCCACGAGGAGCCGCAAGGGGTGATTTTTTTGCGCGGCATCTGGCGGCACATCAAAGAATTTGGAATTGAAGGGCAAATTCCTAGAATACCTTCGCCTATTAAGCCAGAGAGAAGGTGTTAAAAAACCTCGGGATCCTAAATCATATGTCAATCAAAATATCACTTGTAGCTTTTACTAATGAGGAGCTATCACGCCGTGAAGCTAAATTAGACATATCGAAACATCACATCACATCACATGCATCATATGGTCACGTTTTCACAAAAAGCAAAGCGGTATATTATAAAAGGGCCCTCAAATCTCGGCGAATCGATGCTGGTTTTAAGTCCAGTACATAGGGATAAGCATTTTCTGGTTAAGAGAAAGGAACTATAGCTGCTTTTCCGGAAACGTTTTTTTTTCATTCGGGCTAGCTAGAAAACTTTAGTCTATTTTGTTCCTGGACATCTTTAAAGCGCATTTTATTAAGATACGTGTTCCCGCTTTATCAGCCCTTTCATATTCTATTCCATCATGTATTCTGTAAATGTATTAGTATGTGAAATAAAAGATTTGTAAAAGCTACAACTCTGGCTACAACCGGAAATACGTTTGCGTTCGCGATTCAAGTTAATTGTTCCTTTAATGACAGTGAAATTTAATTTTTAACTCGCCGTATCTCGGCTTAACAAAAGGAAATTGTCATTTTCGATCTTCCATTTTTAAAGGCCAGTTTGCTCTTTAACAATGCCGTCTTTAAAAACAAAGTGTTCTACCTGTTTTCGTGAATTCCCAACGCAAAGATCGTTGAAGAAACATTGTGAAAGGAAGGGGCATAATTTCCAGGAGAGAGACATTGAATTTTTTAATCATGGTGAGACCGAGCCTGTGTGTTTGCCTTTACCGAGAAAAGTGCCAGCGTCTGATGAGGCCGCCTACAAACAGTTCTTGAACGGCGTTGTAGAACTGATAAATTCCTTTTTAAAGCCAGATGTAAAAAGTAAGTGGATAAAAATAGACCTCATCATGGTACCGATAGCACATTTTGAAAACCTTCTTTTTGATCTGGGATTGTCAAAGCCATTTTCGGTAAGAGAGGCACGGCATCCACCGCCACTTAAACAGGATTCTTCAACTTGTTTTTGGTACAATGTTTTTGATGCATCTTCCCTCAACAATATTTTCGCAACGACTTCAGTGCCGCTAAAGTGGAAAGCCTATTTCCGAAACAACGAGGAGGTACGTGCTCCACTTACAGCCGTGGAGCTCTCTGCAAAAGACAAGGTGGCTTTAGCCCGGCAACGCGCGGGTACTCGTTGGGGAGCAGCAAAAGCTACGTCCGAGAAACCAACAGCAAGACGCTCATTAAAATGCGAAGAAGGAGAATGGCCCCGCACCCGCGAATTTCAGCTGCAGTGGTGGCCGAAAGTTTATGCTCATGCAAACTGTGGACATGTCAAGCTAAGGTTTTTCGTGGAACATGTGTCACTTTCCAATTGAAAACCACCCTTCGGAGTAAATACTTTTGTCTATTTAATGCAAGTTAATGTTATTTTTCTTCATGTTAATAACCTCGGTGCAAGAAGACTTTTATATCCGGTAACTTGACAACATTTTATTGTTACCTTTTTTGAATGGATATAAGAAGAACTGGAACACGTTAGTAAAATGTGTTGTAAATAGTATTTGTTCTTGTTTTGATCATGTTATATGAACGGATTGCTCTAAAAACTCACAATATTTAATCTGTTTTGATGCATTTGAAAGCTAACTGAAATGTACATAGATTTTAAATATTAAGTATCTCGCATTAAAAAAACCTGTCACCCTTAATACAATTTGTAAGAAAACCAAAATAGAACGACGCATTTGAGAGGTTTTTCTATAATAAAACTGTAACTAAACTTTGCTTTTAGAGTGTACAATGAAACTGATACCAGACGGTAAAAGCCTAACTGCAGCGAAATACCCGCCACGCGGGCAAAAATAACTTCCAAAACCAAATTGGTTTGGATTTCCAGCCGGTACTGTCAGTACTGTTTCTCTTTGTGCATTGTTACTCTGTTAAACATTCCTTTAGCTTTTCAATTGAAGGCCGACTTTGTGGAGGCTGGATAAGAGTGTCTCCCACAATTGGAGGGAAATTAAATTTCAAAAGCCTATACACTGACTTGATCATAAAGCAAAAAGCAAAAATGTCAGTTTTAACAGATGGTTTGCATGTTCCGTCGATCAACTCTGGGGCAATGTAGCTGTTCTTGTAGTTTCCTCGCACACAGACTGGTTTCGCAGTAGGTTTCTTCGCTTTTACTGCCAAAACACTTTTCCCGAAGTCGATGATTACAGGTCTTGGGCGCGGAATACTTTCACTCGTCTCAAGGACTACATTGTTGCTCTTCAGGTCATTGTGTATGTAGCCGCATTGGTGAATGTGTTTCAGGGCATCTGCAACCTCACAAAATATTTTCTGCCAGTCCTTTTTCGCTATCTTCTTCTCCTTTGCAGCTTTGATTAGGGTAAGGCTGTTATCCCCGCTTCCATGAAACTTTAGTACGATGCTGACTGGCTGTTGTTGCAGGACCACCCCGAACAAAAGAGGTATTCCAGGATGGTCACCTAGCTGCTGTATAACTCTAGCCTCGTGGGTAGCCTCTTTCCTACGCCTTTCGAAGCCTCTGTCCGTGGAGGAACTGGACGCGCCCTTGTATTCTTTAACGACAACTTCGATATCACGGTATTTTGCGAGGAAGCACGTGCCGAAAGTACCGCTTCCAATGGGCTTTGATCCCATCACTCGCCTTAAATTCGATGGGCTGATTTCTTTGAGCGTACTGCTTCTTGACTGAGCAATGTTCTGAGCAACTCCAGCTGTCTGCGTTGTAGGTTTCAAACGTTTGTTGGTTCGGCTTTCCTCCGCATTTCGATTGAGAGCGGCAGAAACCAGTCGTTTTCCTCTTGAGAAATCTCTCTTTCTGGCATCCTGACCCTCTGCGCTGTTCTGCTTACTGGCGTTTTGCGGCTTCTGCTCCTGCCTTCCTTCATTTCCAGCAACGCCAGCTTTCTTTCTTTCCTTTCGGCGTTTCTTCTGAAGTTTTCTTAAATTTTTGTAGTGACTGTTACGCTTCTTCCTGGTCTCACTATCTTCGTTCTTCGCTGATTCTCGCCGGCGTCGCTTTCTATCTTTCTTTGAGTCATTCATTGAAGCTCAAGTCTTGGTTTTGAACCCGATCAAAGTGGCAATTACGTGCTAAACTTTGGAATTGTAGTGGAATTTTTACTGCATCTCAATTTCTATTGTGTACGAATTCGCATAACAAAGGTCACTGTAAGATGTCGCTCTGTGATTGTTCTGAGTGTGGGGCTTTGTTTGACTAATTGATCAATATCAAACGTTCTCGAGCGGAATCTCGCAAGTTTTAATGCTAAGCACTTCATATCCCCTTTTTGACGGGTAAGGGTCAAGTCTCCATTATTTTCTCGTCAATACCCTTATCCTCCCATTTTGAACCTAATCATAAATTCCGGCACATGAAAACTTTGTATGAGTTAGTTATGTTGGACAGATTTTATTTAGGTCGACCCGCATCTCAGTTGGCCATCGCTTTATAAATCTGGTGGCTCTTAAAAGAGCCGTTGGTTTTGTTACCCGTAGAGTACAATGTCAAACTTTAATTCCTACGTCCGACACTACAGGGTTTCCTTGCGGGAGTGCAATGCAAGGCTTCCCCCTTCTACCTCCAGTTCCTTCGTTGCTGTTGTCTTTCCGCATAAAAGGTAGGAATTCTTCATAAACCTGAGTGGCCAAATGGTAATTTGCACCTTGCAGGAAAACTTGAGGCAACCTTTAAACAAAACAAGAAAGTTAACACTCGTGGAAAATTAACCTTCAGAGCCTGGGCACAAGTAGAGAGACCGCTGCTCATGAGTCGCGCTAAGTTTTGAAGTTTTGCTGAGTCCTGAGGAGACAGATGAGACCAGTAAGACGACTGTTATCGACTAGTAGTTGACTGTGATACGTACTAATTACATTGCACATGATTCGATCTACTGGTTTAAGAGGGTCAGTTAATGTTTTCTCAACGTAAGCGACAGCCAGGCGAGAATAACACAAACAGGTAAGGCGAGAAAATGAATGCTACTTCATCCTAATTGTTAATGCAACATAACTTAATCATAAAGCTCATTGGTGTGTCGCGAGTCATAGATACAGATACAGAGGAAAGCTTAAAAACAGGACTACAACGTTAAGAGAGATTTAAGTACAAATTAATGACACTACGATATGGTATGGGGCGGGGGCGGGAGCGGGGGCGGCGGCGGCTTGGCTGCTTTAGTTTGGGTCGTTTATTTCAAGCTTCCAGCTGCGACCGGATTTTTCTCTGAGGCACAACTATCCACTGTACTATCGCACTTCTTATCTCTTATGTTTCATTTACTATTTCTTGACCAAGGCATATATTTTGTGATTAAGTACTACTGTCTGACTAGGGGAATTTTCATTCTTAAGTAAAGTTGTTACTTCTGTTGTTGCATAATTATATAATTGGCCTAATCACTTTTGTATCCAAACATGGTCAATCCCATGCAGGTATTCTCTTGGGTACAACTGTAGAATGCATGGTGAGTTTGAAATAGTTCTTTTTATCTATAAGTACCAGGCTGTCATTAGTAGCCAGCAAAATGCTTTTAAAGCCAGCTAAGTACTGCAGCAAAATTAGCCATCTATGCTCAGTTTTAACATGGGTAAAACATAGCAAAGTTAATATAAGAGGATTTGAGTAATAAACGACCAGCTACTGTTTTCTGAGAGACCGGCTTCCTAGAGACAGTTTTATCCCGATGTTCAGAAGGATTGCAAAACACTGGAAATGCTGACAATAATAGTATTAACTAATTGCAAACTGAGGCAAATGTTGAAAGGTACTGTACATTATTTTCATTTTTTGCTTACCATAGGTTAATCCAATAGCTCTCTGTTAATCACTGCGTTTCATATCTAGGGACAATGAGACAAAAAGTAAATAATGATATTCTTAGCTTTAGAGTAACCATCAGGTATGTTCTACCCACGAGGTTACAAAGAGGAAATGGTGTGATTATTAGGGTCTTTGTGTAACCATCAGGTATGTTCTACCCACGAGGTTAAATGGTGTGGTTATAAGATCGAGTCTTTGTGTAACGATCAGGTATGTTCTACCCACGAGGTTACAAGAAGGAAATGGTGTGATTATTAGAGTCTCTGTGTAACCATCAGGTATGTTCTACCCACGCGATTACAAAGAGGAAATGGTGTGATTATTAGAGTCTCTGTGTCATCATCAGGTATGTTCTACCCACGAGGTTACAAAGAGGAAATGGTGTGATTCTTAGAGTGTCTGTGTAACTATCAGGTATGTTCTACCCACGTGGTTACAAAGAGGAAATGGTGTGATTATTAGAGTCTCTGTGTAACCATCAGGTATGTTCTACCCACGAGGTTACATAGAGGAAATGCTGTGATTATTAGAGTGTCTGTGTAACCATCAGGTATGTTCTACCCACGTGGTTACAAAGAGGAAATGATGTGATTATTAGAGTCTCTGTGTAATCATCAGGTATGTTCTACCCACGCGATTACAAAGAGGAAATGGTGTGATTATTAGAGTGTCTGTGTAACCATCAGGTATGTTCTACCCACGCGGTTACAAAGAGGAAATGGTGTGAGTATTAGAGTCTCTGTGTAACCATCAGGTATGTTCTACCCACGAGGTTACAAAGAGGAAATGCTGTGATTATTAGAGTGTCTGTGTAACCATCAGGTATGTTCTACCCACGCGGTTACAAAGAGGAAATGGTGTGATTATTAGAGTCTCTGTGTAATCATCAGGTATGTTCTACCCACGAGGTTACAAAGAGGAAATGCTGTGATTATTAGAGTCTCTGTGTAATCATCAGGTATGTTCTACCCACGCGATTACAAAGAGGAAATGGTGTGATTATTAGAGTGTCTGTGTAACCATCAGGTATGTTCTACCCACGTGGTTACAAAGAGTCAATAGAGTGGTTATAAGATTTTAGTGTGTCCTGAGGTTTTAATGCTGGTCTCTTGTGAATCATGTCAGCATATACAGCATCAGTTTCTTCCTGTAGTAGTTGGATTCTTCAAAGGTCCACATGATTCGACTAGGGGGCACTCTCTCTTCAACGATGATATCTTGACCTAGTAATATAACTCCCATCCCACAGCTTCCACCACCAGCTGTCTTACCATCAAGTCTCTGCAGAGGCATGCCTATTCGCCTATACTGCTGTGTGGAAAAGTGATTACCGGTAAGTGCCATTCTGTCAGCAACTGATGGGAACATGTCTCTCAAAAGCTTGACCAAAGTACCCACAGAGTTACAGAGATTTTCTGGTGGGGCAACTTTGAGTCCATCATCATACCATATAGCCACCATGTCAAGGTCAACACAGACAAGGCCCCAGTGATGTTTGTCTTCCATGTGTACTGGCATTAGGATAAGTTTAAGTTCATTTGGATGGTGGAGGTCCTTTTGAATGACAGTTTTGATAGGGTCCAAATCTTGATTTTCCAACCATGACAAGGCTTCAGCTGGCAAACACAGAATTGAACTAGTACTCTTTGTTTGTTTCTGACTACTGATTAATGACTTCTTCAAGCAATAATCAATAATAAAGTTGTCAATGTAACGCTCACCAACCAATGTAGAGACTGATTTGAAATCAACATTAATTCCATCAAGGGAAGTTACCACACGCAATGGGTCATGGGGACTGCTTTCAAAAAAGGTGCAGAGGTATTTGATTTCAGTTTCTCCAAGACTAAACTTGTCAGGGTTGAAATGGAGCCATGCCATTTCATCTCTAAAGTTGTGTTGCATTTTTGCAATGGAGCAGTATCTCAAAAGGATGTCAATGCCAGTAGTATCGAAGTTTCCCAGTGTACCAATTTTGACTCCACTTGGATCATCCTCATCATCTAACTGGATGGTATTTCCGTCTATCAACTGTGCAGAGCAGGTGCTAATGATCTTGTGTGCTATTGTCATTATGTGTTCAGAAGGACGACTCTTAAGTGAGTAAGGATTGTCCTCTTGAAAGTTACCAAAAATAGGCACAACTTCTGTCTCACGGATTATATTTGTAACTGGAGGCAGTTTAATCTGTGACAACTCTTGCCTTGTTGCAGTTTGTGACATGCATAACTTCAGAGGTTCTTGCACAGGTTTTAGTGATTTTGGTATGCTGACAGGGCTTTGAATTTGCTGGGTTGGTTGGGACTGCTGTTTTGCACTCACTGCAGATGGCAGTGGACAAGAATTTGCTTTGGGAGCAGGGAAAAGGCATCTTTTTTGCAGGTTTGAACTTCTGCTCTGCCTGTGACTCTTCACCTTTCTTGCCTCTCTTTGCTAAGGGGATCGAGGAGACAGTGGAGTGCAATTCAGGGTTTGGTAGTATCTATCTTCCCATTCATCATGGTTGTACTCGAAATCGGGTAAGTCCTCTTCATTAACAAAGCAGACCTTGCTTTTGTCATAGTGATAACCAAGGTAGTCTTTGCCAAATAGGTTGTCCATTAGCTTGTTAACTGTTGCTATCCAAGCTTTATCCTCAATGGACCATTCTGGCTTTGGTTTAGTAGAGGGCCAGCCACAACCACGAAAGAAGAAGCTCTTTCCTAATTGAAAGGTAATTAAAATGGATTACTAGTGTGAACATGCAAGAGGTTAATTTGCAAGTAGAGTATCGTACATAAAATCGTAGGTTTGCTTTTTATAATAATATTAGAATGAAAATTTTACATGTTAATTATTGTATTGCAAAGTATTATATATACATCACCTCTGTATTTTGTTTTTAAATTTAGAACATTATTCTGGCTTTGTAAATTCACCTGATGAACCAGAGCACTTTTTTGCCTGCTGAAAGCATAGTCGGAGATACAACAGCTTTGTTGAATAGTGATGGAGGAACATCTGCTCAACTAAAATATTGAAAGAAATATAGAGGTTATTATAGAATTTGTATTGTATTGTATGTAGTAATGTTATGAAGGTAGAATAATTTTTGAATGGTGCTGTTTTTGTCTTCAAAGATCTGTTTTATTCAGGAAAAGGTTATTTACACTGTATTTATTACTAGTAATTAAAATGGTTTATATATAGAATATGCAGTTTGTTCAAACAGAACTATGATTTACCAATCTTTTGTTGGCATTAACTCAGCAGTCAGTATTTAACAAATGTACGGGTAATAAAATCGCAGAGATATTGTAGCAATATTACAGGTGTGCTTGGAAAAGGTCTGAGAGACTTCCTGTTAAGTAATTCGGCTCTATTCAAATCCATATAGTGACTTAAGGCCATATTCCACATGCTCCAAGTTTGTTTTATAGACTTCTAAATCCACTCACTTGATGACTCAGATGCCGTTGAATCATGATTTGTGCAATGAGCATACAGCTGCCTGTGAACTTTGTGTGCTGCTTCAAAACCTTGGTTTGAGTATCGTGCCATTGACTTGAAGCGACGCATGAGCATTGGACTGTGTTCAATGGTCATATGCCCATAGTCACCTGTACCAAGTCCTAGGCCAAATAGTTCACGACAAAGAAATCCCCACTCTTTGCACTGTTTGGGATGAAATAAAAGCACTCAGGTGTTAAACATTACAGGCATTTAAGTCAAGTTACATAATACTATAAATTATAAATTACTATAAATTCAATAGTGACTAAGTTGTTACCTGGATATCATATTTATCAATTTCATAATCTTCATCATCCTTAAACACTCTGTGGCGTATAACTGAAGCAATATCTTTCCACTGAGAGAACACCTGAAGTGCACAATAACAAAATCAACATTTTTATAACTAAATTAAGATTGCTTCATATCATTGCTGCAGGCCGATAATACTATATGGATGTTACCAATATACTAGGCCACATTCATGTGAACTACTAAATTAAATAGATTATAATTTATAGTGAACTGTTTCAAACCTCTTTGTATCTTAAAATTTCCAGTTCTGCAGCGTATTGGCGCAATGCAAGTGCGTTGTCAGCTTGTTCAGCGTTAGTGTACTTGTCCTCTAGGTCTTTAGAGCATTGTTCCCAGAATTTCTTTTTTTTTTATTCTTCAAGATCTATAGAAAAATATTCTTCAAGATCTATAGAAAAAAACTAACATTAATTTACCAAAAGGTAAATGAGGCAGACTGAAAATAACAAAGCACTAAATTTCTTTCATCATAAGCTATGCAGCTGTAGGCCAGATAGCTGATGACTTTTGGGCCAGGTTGTTTGAAGCCAGGTTAAGATAACTCGGGGTTACTGCAAAATTTGAATATTAGAGTTTAATACTCTTTGCCTACAATTGATGATTGGATACTCTAAAAAGAATAAAGAAATTTACCCGAGAGAGCGCTTTTGATAAAAAGATAAAGAAACCTACTGTAGTTTAATGCTAACCAGAATGCAGACAACTGGGCCTTGAATGGAAAATCATTTCTAACATGGCTTTTTTTTAATTAAACTGGAATGTTGAAAGTGTATACAGGTCGTAATGCCAGATTCAGCTAAATATTGTGCTTTCTATTTTGCCAATTGCAGGGTAAATATATGAAGTCTTTCCCCACCTGTGCCAGCAATAGCAACAGTTTCCAAGCCCTCTGCTCCATTGTCCCGTTGAAATTCACCACTCTCAAGTAGGTTTCTGTAATACTAATAGCAAGAAACAGTTAACATTAAAAGACTGATTGTCAGTGTATTGTAGCTGTAACTAATCTGGGACAACATTCTATGACTTACTTTCATTATTATTGCCTTAATGAAGGTCATACTTCACTATTTAGTTGTACTCTAATATTTCCTGATTGTGGTGATTATATAATATACATGTGAACATGAAAAGTGCCCCTCATTGACAATATTCAGTGTATAAGATAATATATATCACAGTAGAATGAAGTTAAACAAACCTCTGTTCTTTCTTCACAGTAAGATATTTTAGCAAGAACAGAATCCTCAGCAGCTTCCTTGTCTGGAAAAAGATTCATGACCTTTTGAACTGGCAAGGAAGAATCCACTATGTCTTCATAGTTGTTCAAGAAAGCCTGTTCAGTGTTGCCTGCAAATAAAATTAGGTAAAAATCCATTAGTCTGTAAAGTCACATTAATTCTTGTTATAGCATTACTGTTGAAGTTAAATATTTATAGCATAAATAAGGAAGACTAAACAGCCGTCTGTATATAATTATGTAACTGTAACTCTACAGTATATACTTTATTGAAACCTGTATGAGTGGACACCCAATTGTGACTCTAATGCTACTGGCTGCCTTATGGATGTTTCTGCTAATAATAAAGATTTGGTTTAAAGAAAATATGGGGAAGTATGCTGGAACTTACTGGCACTTGCATCTGTTTACTGATTATGCAGGGTTCTTTGTTATAATTCTACCCCCCACTGTAGGCCACATGTCTTTCCTATACCTTGGGTACTTTAAGTCCTTTTTTACTAAAAACCCAACAGCAACAATTTATTCTTTTCCGAATTCTTTCCTTCATATTTTGTGTTATGCACATTTTGTGTTATGCACATATGTTGCGCACTTCTTTTTTTTTTTTACATTTGTATTGCATTTTGGCCATTCAGGCCCTGTGTTAAAAACCATGATCAGAACATTCAAGTGAATAAGGACTCAGCCCATGTCACAAATGATTTGAATTGTAAAAATAAAAAGTAATTATTATCGATAATGAAAAAGATGCATCATAACATTATGCCACATGTTAAACTTAAAAAATACATCACTCAGGTACCTGAAAATGATCTAACTTTGATGTTGTGTTTGTCTACATCTGTTTGTTGGCCTTCCTTCAGCTTTACAACGATGCGATCTTTAACCATTGTTTCTGGCCCATATTCGGACAACACGAGGTTGCATTCCTTTAGTGATCCACATCTGTGTGCAGTGAGGCCCAGGGATGCAAGAAGTTGCTCTGTGTTTCTAAGCTCACAGTGGAGGGCACAGAGATTAACATCAGAAACTTCAACATCGAAGAAGATTAACAGATCATCTCTCACACCCGTCCACCTACATTGACAAGGTGATAAAAATTAATAATGATACCTGTTGTATTAGTATGCTAAATAATATATAATAATTGTTGATATAATTAAAATCAGCCTCACTTACCTCGTTTTCAAGTTTAAAATTCCAAGTAATATCTTATCTGAAGCAAGGTTAGTGAGGCTGATTTAAATAGCAAAAGAAGAATATCAAAGTAATGCCCATTTTTGCATGGAGTCTATTGTGAAAGAAAAAAGTGTTATATATACTTTATTAAAATCCAAAATCCATACAAAATAGTTTATTTGATTATAATATTTATATCAAGTCATATCTTACTTTCCAATGTTCCCCTTGGCCTTTAAAAAGCACTCAGCACACGTTTCATTTGCAGGAACCCCCTTGCAGTTGCAACCCTGACAAAAACAATCAGATTGTATTATTATATTATCGTTATATGGTATGTATCATTATTCTCAGCCTATTACTACGACTGACTTTGTTTTAGTTCTGTCCTAACAAAGTGAAACACACCTTTGTTATCCATATTCAACCATGCCCAGCTTGTACTTAAGAAAATAATATTATTATTTATATTTAAAATTATTTGTATAATCCCCAAGCATCATACCCCCTTTATGCCATTAGACAGAAAGGGAAAATAAAGACAAATTAATCATAAAAGGTAAAAATAAACCATTGCAAATACAGCTGTTGGTTATTCTTGAATTTCTTTACTACTAAACTCACCCGGATTGCTGTACAAAAAAGGCAGGCTTCTACTCCTTTTCCATGCCCGCCCAACTTGACTTCCTCACCAGTTTTTCTTTGTGTGCAGAGCAAAAGAGCTTTGTAGTCAGCTGTAACTGTTGTTAAAAGAGCAGTCCCTTATCATATGATACTAAAACAAGCCATTTACAGATTAGATGAAGGTAACTGCATGAGTTACACTGTCTTAAGAGCATCATGATGAAAAGTCTTAAATATCATCAGTCATGCAGTTGAAGCTTTGTTGACTAACTGTGATGAAAACAATCTTTACAGTAGTAAAAGGGTAAAACAGGTTGAACATAAGTACTAAAAGCCATATTATTTAAATACACATATTTTACGCAGGACCCATGAATTACAATCATAAAGTATTTATTTTCTAGAAAGGTAATTAAATGAAAATGAAGTAATAATTAGAACTGTTGCTCCATGAGTCCTTAATTTTGGTAGCTAGTGAAAACCCGTAGAGTGTGGTTTCTATTGTACCACATATGGATGTTGATATTAACAGGAATATTCCATTACAACTCTCTTGAGGAAATCTGGTGACAGAGATAGTGGTGAAATAGAATAAGAGGATACACACCCGTAAATTTAATTTTGTAGTGCTTGCCATCAACTGTTAGGCCATGTTTTTCAATGTGCTTTTTTTGTGCAGTGAGGTCTCTCAGTAGCAATTCCAGGTTTCTCCTGAGGAAATGGTGACAAATTATTCCTTGCAGAACTCCTTAACTGTTATATATAATCATGATAGTTTAGAGGTACTGAACACTTGGATCCAACTATGCTTTCAATGTTTTTTTTTTTTCTTGTGACGTTCATCACAAAAAATCCCCCAACTTTGATTCATTCTTAATTATTTTAAAAATGTTAACAATGATTTTTAAAATTAATATTAAAAATGATTCATAGTCAGGGTTATTATTTAGTCAGGGAAAATAAAAAGGAAGACAAAAATTTATTAATATTATCGCTGAGTGCATAATGGAATCTGGGCTTTTCAGACTGATTGATATACATTGTAACTGACAACAATAGTATTAATTGAATTTCTTAATAAATAAGTAAAAGAAAATAAGACTTTTGCACAAATTAATTCTATAAAGATACTGAAACTACCCATGACTAATAAAAAGGAACACAGCAATGGCAGGAATAATTTTTATCTCTGCATTATTGTTATTGTTGTTATTGTTATTATTATTATTATTATTCCTGTAAGAAAACTGCAGGGTAATGTATCATCAATAATTTAATTATGACCTATTTTTTAACTGCCATATTTTTCCTTTGTAAATGCTATATTTTATAGACACAGACCTTGTTTCTGTACAGTTGGCTATTGCGAGAGGATAGACTGCTTTGCAGCTTTGGCTTGATGTGAAAGGGGTGTCAATTGGCGTAAGACCAGCCAATACTTGAGATTTTCCTGAAACAAAGTTAATGTTGAAGTTCCCTTAATCAGGTAATTTAATTATACAATTTGTCAAATATTACACAAATGCACATACCCAAAAATAAAACCAAAACAAAAAATAGTGAAGGAAGGACCCACCTTACTCCAATGAAATCAAATTAACAGAGGTGTTGAAAATTTAGGCTACTGATAATTACCCCAAAATGGTCTGCCATCAAGCTTGAGATTGGTATCCACCTCATCATTGTCTAAACCATGCAGCCGCTGCTCTCGAATCATCCATGCCAGAACGTTCTTCAGGTCAACCTGTCTTCCTTTTAAAGGTTTAGGGGTTTCGCAAAGACCGAGGGTTTTCTTCACTATGGTGAATATCATTCTGCGAACTGCCTTGATTTGATTCTTGTTGAGCAAAATGTTAGCATCATTATCTTTCTGTCAATAAAACATACAATTTGTTTATTGTCTCACCCAAAAAGTTTTTGTTGTTTTAGAATCATCCTTTAAAAAATGCTGTTGGGGAGCAGTTAGATGGGGGAGGGGGTGGGGGGGGGGGGAGGAACACTTTATTCAATAAAGTACATATATTTATGTATGCAATGATCAATGATGTAGGTATGTACACATGTGCGAAAAGACTTGAAGTAACAATAACATTATAATCATTATAATGATTAACTTAAACTAAAAATATATATCTGTGTGAATTTCTTACAAGGTGCCTGTACTGAGTCCCTAGACAGCCAAGTCCAAGGAGCAACTAATCACCCTTCCCACCCATGAAGCTTATGACTAGTCAATAACTTCCCCCAAGCTCTGTTAGTAGTGTTATGATTATAAGTCACAGCATTAATTTGGCTGCACTGCTTTCTGACTTGAAACTATAATCAAAGTGACAAAATCTCCCCTCCCTACCCCCCTGGTTTTGACACAAAACAAGAAAGCCACCCAGCCACAGATAAGTCTGGACCTGGGCTCCCTGCTGACGCCTAGAAAGGTGCCATGCTCCCTGGCTTGAGGGAAAGCCAAGCGGGTCCACCTTTTAGCAAAATTACTCAGATATACATGTAACTATAATTACCTCATAACTAAAAATAGAATAAGGTATAACTAATCTTCAGTATATTCAGCGAAATCCATCCCACCCTTATTAAAATGCCGGTAATAATACCTTATCACTGGAATCCTTTGGGAATGGTTATAACACAGAGTCATTAAGTCTATTCCAAACATTTTATATCTGATCCAGCCCCCACCCCATCCCCCTTATAAATTACAAAGAATAGATTTGGTAGCAAAATAATCAATTCACTCTAGCTTACCCCTGTTCTTCCCAGTTTCGTCAGATTTATCATTGTCTGCCATCCTTCATCCGGAACTTTGGCTTCAAGTTTGAAATAAAGAAGCACCCAGTCAGGGACACGGAATTGTTGCATGTATTGCTGCAAAACATCAGGGACAAGCGTTTGGAGCCCTCTCTTCACTCCTTTTTTCACGGTTACAGAGGTAACAATCTCAGAAATTATGTCACGAGCTTCACTTGGCTGTTGTTGGGGATCGTGGGTGCACAGGTGACCAAGAACGGATGCCACGGAAGCTTTGTGCCTACTACAGACATCTTCCATCGAACGAAGAACTTTTCCCGCGCTTTTTTTGCTAAGCCTTGTTTTCTTTTGTTTTGGTGGCGCAGCCGATTTTTCGTCCGTAGAAAGGTTGAATGCAGGACTCTTGTCGGCAATAATACTTTGGAGATCCCTGATCTTCCCCTTTGCTTCCTCAAGTTCCTTTTGAAGGGCTGTAACAGTGGAACTCGTGCCATTTCTTGGGAGGCCAGTGATGGCACAGTGATCGTTGATGGTAGCAGCAATTCTTTTAAACGAGTCGCTTGATAAGTAGCTCTGGTCGTTTAACTCACGTTGGCGAAGAAGTGCGCCGCAAAGGCCTAAAGTGGAAGCCACAACAACGCTACATTTTTGATACTTGACTCCAAACAAGTTCGGGTCAAGAGCATTTCCACTCTCGTCGCGGAGTTCGCGGAATGGCACTTTGTGTATTTCGTCCGGAAATCGTCGGAAGAAAACATTGTCGCTGAATTTGCGAACTTCTGAACCGCAGATATCAGAATTCAGGACGTACCAGCCCTTTTGAGGATCAAGACACGTACTGTATACTTGAAGAAGCATTTTGATCGCGACTGCATTGATGCCGCGTAAATTTTAAAACTAGCGCGCTTAGTTGAGTTTTGGTTAATATCGGTCTACAGATTAACTATATTAACTGTTTGCAGTCGAGTTTTTTAGTTCTTTATTAATAGGAATATTATATAAAGATTTTTTTTCTAAACTCATTCGATGCTTGTTTTATTTATATCTTTCTGCTTCAAAAAAAAAACAAAAAGAAAAACAAATATAAAAAATAAAATAAACATTCAGTGCAACATTTGAGGATCTTTAATAGTTCCGCTTAGTGTACCATTGTGTGGTTAGAGTGTTTCCGTCAGAGACCCAGCACCCGTACCCCTTCGACGTTGGGCCGAGGACAATGAGGGAGGAAGGGAAAAGGACCTTCATGCTCCGTGGGAAACTGTGAGTGATCGCGGAAAGCCAATTTTGGTCGGAGGAAATTACCTCCGACACTTTTGGTCCGGGGACGTGAACACAGGCCAAGAGATTCTCAAAGGTTCCAGTATATCGTATTTATTAACTACTAGAATAAAATTATTACCCGAGTAGCCACGGGAGAGTCATTTTTCTTTGCTGATGGACTGACTGGTGCCTGGTGGACTTTGTCCTGACTTCCTGAACCGCATACTCCGCGAGAAACGCTTATCTTTACAAGTCCGGGAAGAAAGCGATTTACCAGTTTGATTTTAAGATGAATGTACTCCACAAAAGCAAAATGAAATGTTTTTATCTCGATGTTGTTTTATTCATTCGTCCGTGGAGTAAATTCATGCAGGCCTCATCAGTGGCGCTATCCATTTGACTAGAATTTCAGGGAATTTCAAAATAACACGAATGAACCGGAATTCTCTGGGGACGATTTTTGTAACCAGTTTAGTTTCTATTCAGCGGCCTCTTTGCTTTTATTTAAAATGTTCGAGTCTGGTATAAACGTGTAAGGTTGGCATATTAACGCGCACTGTCACTGAATGAAAACAACATGTCACGATCACGTAGTTTGAAACCAGACGCGCACAACATACCACTGTTATGCTAAGCAATTATCCTGCTGGGTGTTAATTTTCTTGTGACAGTCTTCGCACTGAAGGTGTAGGTGGTTAACCAAGCGGTCTTTTTGATCATCGGAACGACCTGTCAACTTTGATTACTTTATCCAATTAACTTATGGGACAGAAATTTTGCTCCTTGCGGCTCCTCGTGTTTAAACATTAGATTTCTCGCCTAGTCCTTTCTAAGACTGGAATGCTTACCTTATGGTTTTAAATATTTAAATTCTCACCTTACCCTTTCAAACATTGGAATTCCTACGTTATGCTTTTAAACATTGGAATTCTCACCCTATTGTCTTAATCGATGGAATTCCTACCTTATCCTTTTAAACATTATTATTCTTACGTTATCCTTTTAAACATTGAAATCCTCACCTTATGCTTTCAAATAGTGAAATTCGTTCGTTATCGTTTTAAACATTGTTTTCTCACCTTATCCTTTAAAACACTCGAATTGTAACCGTATCCTTTTAAACACTGGAATTCCTATTCTATATATTTAAACATTGGAATTTCTACCTTATGTTTTCAAACATTGTAATTCCTACCTTATCTTTTTAAACCTTGAAATTCCTACCTTATCCTTTTAGACACTGGAATTCCTACCCTATCTATTTAAACAGTGGAATTTCTACCTTATCCTTTTAAACATTGGAATTCCTACCTTATCCTTTTAAACATTAGAATTCCTACCTTATCTTTTGAAACATTAGACTTCTTACCTTTTCGTTTGAAATATTGGAATTCCTTCCTTTTCCTTTCAACCATTGGACTTCCTATCTTATCATTTTAAAGTTTGGAATTCCTACCTTAGCCTTTTAAACATTGAAATTCTCTCTTTATCCTTTTGAACATTGCAATTTCTACCTTATTTTTTTAAACATTAGACTTCCTACCTTTTCCTTTTAAACACTTTAATTCTTACCTTTTCCTTTTAAACATTGGAATTCCTACCTTTTCCTTTTAAACATTACAATTCCTACATTTTCCTTTTAAACATTACAATTCCTACCTTTTTCTTTTAAACATTGGAATTCCTACCTCATCCTTTTAAACATTGGAATTCCCAACTTTTCCTTTTAAACATTGGAATTCCTACCTCATCCTTTTAAACATTAGAAATCCTACCTCATCCTTTTAAACATTAGAATTCCTACCTTACCCTTTTAAACATTGGAATTCCTACGTTATCCTTTTAAAGATTGGAATACTCACCTTATCCTTTTAAACAATGAAATTCTCACCTTATCCTTTTAAACATTGAAATTCGTACCTTATCCTTTCAAACATTAGAATTCCAACCTTTTCCTTTGAATCATTTGAATTCCTACCTTATCCTTTTAAACACTGGAATTCTCACCTTATCCTTTTAAACACTCGAATTCTTACCTTATCCTTTTAAACATTGGAATTCTCAGCTTATCCTTTTAAAGTTTGGAATTCCTCGCTTATCGTTTTAAACATTGGAATTCCTACCTTATCCTTTTAAAGATTGGAATTCTCACCTGATTCTTTTAATCATTGAAATTCTCACCTTATCCTTTTTAACATTGAAATTCTCACCTTGTCCTTTTGAACATTAGACGTCCTACCTTTTCCTTTTAAAAATAAGAATTCCTACCTTTTCCTTTTAAACATTGGAATTCCTACCTTTTCCTTTTCAACTTTGGAATTCCTACCTTTTCCTTTTAAACATTAGAATTCCTACCTTTTCCTTTTAAACTTTGGAATTCCTACCATATCCTTTTAAACAGTGGAATTCCTGCGGTATCCTTATCAACATTGTACTTCCTACCCTATCCTTTTAAACATTTGAATTCCTACCTTATCCTTTAAAACATTGCAATTCCTACCCTATCCTTTTAAACATTGGGATTCGTTCCTTATCCTTTTAAACACTGGAATTCCTACCCTATCCTTTTAAACATTGGAATTCTCACGTTATCCTTTCAAACTTTGGAATTCCTATCTGATCCTTTTGAACATTCTAACTCCTACCTTATTTTTTTAAACATTAGACTTCTTACCTTTTCCTTTTAAACATTCGAATTTTTCCTTTATCCTTTTAAACACTGGAATTCCTACCTTTTCCTTTGAAACATTGGAATTTTCCCGTTATCCTTTTAAAGATTGAAATTTTCCCCTTATCCTTTTGAACATTGGAATTCCTACGTTATTTTTTTAAACATTAAACTTCCTACCTTATTTTTTTAAACTTTGGAAGTCCTACCTTTTCCTTTTAAACACTGGAGTTCCTACCTTATCCTTTTAAACAATGGAATTCCTACCCTATCCGTTTAACCAATGGAATTCCCACCTTATCCTTTCAATTTTTGGAATTCATACCCTTTTTTTTTAAACATTGGAATTCGTACCTTATCCTTTCAAACATTGGAATTCCTTTCTTGTCGTTTTAAACATTGGAATTCTCAGTTCATTCCTTTAAACACTGGAATTTTAACTGTATCCTTTTAAACGTGGGAATTCCCATCTTATCCTTTTAAAGATTGGAATTCCTACTTGATCCCTTTAAATCTGCAATTCCTATCGTATCCTTTTAATTATTGCAATTCCTACCTTATCCTTTTAAACACTGAAATTCCTACCCTATCCTCTTAAACATTGGAATTCCCACCTTATCCTTTCAAACTTTTGATTTCCTACCCTATCCTTTTAAACATTGGAATTCCTACCTTATCCTTTTGAACATTGGACTTCTTACCTCTTATTCTTTTAAACACTGGAATGGCCCCTTATCCTTTTGAACATTGGAATTCCTCCCTTATTTTTTGATTATTAGACTTCCTACCTTTTCCTCTTAAACTTTGGATTTCCTACCTTATCCTTTGAAACATTGGAATTCCTACCTTATCTTTTTAAACATTGGAATTCCTACCTTATCCTTTAAAACATTGGAATTCCTACCTTATCTTTTTAAACATTGGAATTCCTACTTTATCTTTTTAAACATTGGAATTCTCACGTTATCCTTTCAAACACTGGAATTCCTACTTTATCCTTTTAAACATTTGAATTTTCACCTGATCGTTTTAAATATTGTAATTCTCACCCTATGCTTTAAAAAATTTAGGATTCCCACCTTATCCTTTCAAACATTGGAGTTTCGAGCTTATCCTTTTAAAAAATTGAAATTCCTACCTTATTCTTTCAAACATTGGAATTCCTTCCTTATCTTTTTAAACATTGAAATTCCTACCTCATCCTTTTAAACATTGGAATTCTCACCTTATCCTTTGAAACATTGGAATTGCCACCTTATCCTTTTAGACTTTTTAATTCTCACCTTATCCTTTCGTACTTTGCAAGTCCTACCTTATCCATTCAAACATTGGAATTCCTACCTGATCCTTTTAAACATTGAAATTCCTACCTTATCCTTTTAGCCATTAAAATTCCTACCTTATCCTTTTAAACATTGGAAGTCCTACCTTTTCCTTTTAAACATTGGAATTCCCACCCTATCCGTTGAATTGTTGGAATTTCCACCTTATCCTTTTAAACATTGAAATTCTCACCTCATCCTCTAAACACTGGAATTTCTACTGTTCTTAACCATTGGAATTCCTACCTGATCCTTTTAAACATTGTTATTCTCTCCTTATTCTTTTAAACAGTGGAATTCTCACGTTATCTCTTTAAACATTGGAATTCCTACCTTCTCGTTTTAAACATTGGTATTCTCATCTTATGCTTTCAAAGATTAGAATTCGTACCTGATCCTTTCAATCATTGGAATTCCTACCTTATTCTTTTAAACATTGAAATTCCTACCTTTTCCTTTTAAACAGTGGTATTCTCACTTTATCGTTTTAAGTATTGAACCTTTTACCTTATCCTTTCAAACGTTTTAATTCCTACCTTATCCTTTTAAACATTGAAATTCTTACCTTTTCCTTTTAAACATTGGAATTCTCACCTGATCCTTTTAAA